GAAACTAGTACCTGTGAGGACGAAGCGTATTGTAATGGTCTGACTTATGGAATGTATTGTAAATACACAGGTTATAATAAACCTGTCAATCTCAACTATTACCGACCTCCTCAATATATATGTAGTAGTCGTAATGAGTGTGATGATGGAGAGGATGAGTTCAACTGCACAACTACTGAGCAAACAAAGAGCACTTGTAGACCATATCTTATCGATACATTATATTTTCATGATAGACCGGTCCACAACTTCACCAAGTGCGGAGTACTAAGCATTAACCAACAGAATAAGTATTGTGAAGACAAGGATCTAAAGAAATATCAAACAAATTGTACAGACCAAGCTAGAGAAGGAGGATCGTGCACTATAAATGGATACAAGTCAACTATTTCTAAATATGTGATTTGCTACGAAGACAAGAATGTTCAAATTTGCGATGATCACCTAGAAAGTCAATGTCAGGACATCTCAAAATCATGTGTAAATATACACAAACACGTGATGTGTGATAACTTTCCGGATTGTATTGACAGATCTGACGAAACACTCTCAATATGTCGTATTCAAACTGAAAACACCTGCCAAAGAAAAGTTGGAAAAGCTAAAGCAGGCGAATTGACGTTACCTTTAACCTGGATACGCGACGGTATAGAGGACTGTGTAAATGGTATTGATGAACTGGAAATCTGGCCAACATGTGGAAAAGGTAAGTCCCGAAGATTAGTAACCAGCAATAAAACGTGCGAAAACGTTCTCCTGTGCCCCTCAGGAGATCCTGGCTACGTCGAATTGAACGATCTATGTGACGGACTTGAAACATGTGGTAATGAGAAACAAATGTGTTCAGTATCCCAAAATTCCTTGAAAATCTTCACTTTAGTCTCAAGCAAAGGAAATGGCTTTGTCAAGCAGCTGTCATTTTGCATAAAAGGTCTTAGGAGTATCAAAAATCTCAAAAAGGATAACTGCACACAAAAGCTTTTCGTCTTTCCAGATCATCACTTTTTTGGAGTGGACACGAAAACAGAGTTGCATCTCCCTGAAACTACACAGAATTGTGAGCATATGTACGGGGAACAATATGTATTTACTAGCTGCACAGAAAAATGTAAAAACTCAGCTTGCCCACTGAAGAACCTGCCAAAATACGATGCCTGTCCCAATCAATACCCTAATAGGATAGGAACCATTGCTAACAACAAATATCTGGTTTTCTTCACCAAATCACGTGAAAACTTATTCACGAATAGCTATTTCGTGTGCGATAATAATGTCACATGCATAAATTATTCTCAAGTATGTGACTTGATTGATAATTGCGGCGACCGATCGGATGAGTTGGCATGTACCAATGGTTTCACATGCGACTCTGCTCGTATCATTTCAAAAGATAAAACATGTAATGGGAAATTCGATTGCTTCGACATGTCTGACGAATGTAATCTGGAGTGCTCAAAACAGATACTGGAAAATTTAGCTCTGAAAGTAAGCTCATTGATCATAGGGGGGCTAGCTGTTGTGGCAAACCTGATCGTAATGGTAAAGAACGTAGGATCTCTAAAACACTGCAGAACATCTGTTGCCTTGGCTAACAAATCCCTAATAATCTTGATATCTTTGGGAGACTTCTTAGTAGGTTGCTATTTATTGGTGATAGTAATATATGACGCAGTTATTTTCAAGAAAGACTACTGTAAAAGTCAAATCGAATGGATGACTAGCTTCCAGTGCTCCACGATAGGTGTTGTCAGTACCATAGGATCCCAGATATCTTTGTTTGCTATGGCGGGACTGAGCACCATTAGGCTAAATGGAATACAGGGTTCACTCAGAGTCCCAGGCGAAGTCAACATTGTAAAATCTCTTAAGGTTGCACTAGGGGTTCTTAGCATCTTCATGACATCTGCAGCCATTGCTATCACACCAATAATTAGTTCATTTGAAAACTTTTTTGTAAATGGATACAAATTTGCTGATGAGCTTAAACTTTTCATCGGAACCCAAAACAAACAAGAAGTCCTCGCAGTCCTTGAAGCTTACTATGGACGGATGAAAGGAAGAAACCTGAGTTGGGAAACGATCCTAAAGATGTACCGTGGCATGTTCTCCCATGATGTAGGATATCCAGACCACACCGATACGGTCACAAAGCTTGATTTCTACGGAAATGACGGCGTCTGCCTGTTTAAGTATTTTGTCGACAACAACGACCCCCAGAGAAATTTCGTTTGGGCGATACTCGCCGTAAACTTTGTCTGCTTCCTATTCATTTCAATATCCTACATTCTGATAGGTATTGTCTCCAGAGAGTCCTCAAAAGGTCTTACTAATTCGCAGAACAATCGACAAATTAGTGACCGAAACCGAAAAATGAGTAGAAGGATAACAATCATCATCACTACTGACTTCTGTTGTTGGGTGCCTTTCATCGTTATCTGTGTGTTGCACTCGCTAGAAGTTCTTGATGCAACTCCATGGTACGGCATATTCTCAATGATCATCCTGCCAATAAATTCTGTGATAAACCCATTCCTTTATGACGATTTTGTCACAGAATTATTCAAAGCACTATTTCAATCACTCTCAGCCAGAATTGTCAACTCAGCCATTCACCAAACTATCATCGCACGTCTCAGTACTGCTCAACCTGAAGTTATCGAGATGGAGCAGATAGAAGTTCGAAGAGGAGAACCTGGATGCTCTACTGGTAGTGTCCTCTGTACAAAACATAAAGAAGCTGACGGACCGAAAACAACAGCAGATCTAGATATTCGAGTTACCTGTCTTCAGAACCAAGCTAGAGATAAAGGAGCAGAATCATCTTCAGCAATAGTTACAGGCGAGGACGGATGTGCTTGGTTGAACAGAACAGATGGTGACGTGATAGTTGAGGTACATGATCCATCTGTGCAGCAGAGAAAAAATCCTGAAGTTATCTCTCAAACCATCAACAAAGATCCAGAGATTCACAAAGGTACAAATAAGGGTAGGCTTTTAGAGTCGGAAGTAACACAAGACGTTATTGCCGAGGTGCACCTTCAGGAAGGGCAAGATCCCGAATTTATCATTCAAACTATCAATACAGATGCAGAGGTCCCAAAAGATATCAGCGATGTCAAAGGTTTAGAGCTGCGACTAACGGAAGACGATATTGCTAATGTGCTTTCTGAGGAGGTGCAACACAGAAACGAATCTGAAATTTGCCCTCAAACCATGGTCAAAGAATCTGAGATTTAAGATCTTAATCAGAGTTAACCTCGTGGTATAGTTTCGAACTTTTGTGGATACTATATTTGTGTTAATTGATAGCTTGAGATGAGTTTTTTGTTTATGTTAACTGAAATTACTGTAAGATGTAGTATGCACTCACATCATCAATAATAGCGATGTGAGCTCTGATGAATCACGACATCTGCAAACACAGGCTACAGTCTACAGATCGGGGAAAGAAGTGAGCACGGTGTACTATACTGTATAGAGGTTCGCGGTATAGGCATTTTTTACTGTGATATATTTTTGGTTGAACTTATGCACTATAAGTGCGATATTCAATTATATATAGATATGAGTTCTGATGTCAAGACATTCGGAAAAAACTTGATGGGAATTTATGGAATACCGTTTAAGAAATATGGTAAAAAAATTAGTAATTTGAATTCCATATAATTGATTATTTGTTATTTAATTATTTTATTGTGTAGACGATTTTATAAATCTATTGAAGATTTAGATATTCAATTTTATCATAAAAGATAAACTGATGTAAATGATTTTATTTGACTTGATTGATGGATCGCTTTAATGAGCAATAAAAATCAAGTTCTTATTTTAAGTCAGCTGATTATTCCAATCCTCGAAAAAGTTTAAAGCTCATTTCGAAGTAGTATTAGTACGCTTGTTTGGATATTATAGAAACTGTAACTATCGTGATATGCATATGTATAATATTGTGTATGATATGAATTATATTTGATTATTTTCTTCCTCCTAATTTTATTCCTCCCTATTCCGATGCCGATACTTTTGAAAAATTCAGTGTTTTATTTTGTTACAAGACTGGCTTCTTCCTTACCTGATTTGGTTTAAATTGTCCTAACTCGGGTCCTGGATCAGATGATCGGACGAATTATATATAGATATGAGTTCTGATGTCAAGACATTCGGAAAAAACTTGATGGGAATTTAGGTATGGAATACCGTTTAAGAAATATGGTAAAAAATTAGTAATTTGAATTCCATATTATTGATTATTTGTAATTCAATTATTTTATTGTTAAAAGTGTAGACGATTTTATAAATCTATTGAAGTATTAGGTATTCAGTTTTATCATAAAAGATATACTGATGTAAATGATTTTATTTGACTTGATTGATGGATCGCTTTAATGAGCAATAAAAATCAAGTTCTATTGTTTAATACCAGGACACGTTCATTGAAACTTACAATAATCAATAGAAATTAACCCTCATTAACTCCGTACCACACCCGCATATTTGAAAACCACTATGAGCGATCCCACCCCTAATTAGTTTATAGTATTACATGACAGTGTAATTATGATATATGTACCAACGCATATTATGTCACAATATGCAGTAATGGGAGAGAGAGCGAGCCCTGTAACCCTTACCGTTTCTTGACTTAGCTGCTCAAGCCATTTTATGTAACATTCGTGGTACAAAACCATCAATTAAACCACTTACCACCGACCGGCGACCGATTTAAAAAACCTTTACCATTTGGCTTCCTCGTAGTTTTGTCGGCACTATACCGAAAAAAATCAGCCCCGTAACTCTTACCGTTTTCTTGATTAAGCCGCTCGGAAATTACACGCGGACAGACACACAGACAGAACACACACAGACACACACACACACACACACACACACACACACACACACACACACACACACACACACACACACACACACACACACACACACACACACAAACAAACACACATTCTGAGATTATTGTTTAAGATTATACTAAAACTGACCTAATGTCTCGCTGTCTTCTTCGAGTCTTTGCAAAATGGTAGCCATCTGCTTAGAACTCTCCTTCGGAACGGAGAACGTCAGCTCTCTCGAGTTGTTGACCTGCAGTGTGGATCTTCCCACAGCACCTGTAACGAACAAACAGTTACTGTAGGCTTTATCACTGTTATATTAAACAAGAAATCCTGTTTAAAGCAATAACTTAAAGTAAAATTTCTGCATTTTACATATTTTACAGGAGCGTTAAAGTATAATGCGGAAAACCGTAACACACAAGGACATTATCATTAGCTCTCTCTCTCCAATCCAACCTTTTATACGTACCTAAAACAGCACGAGATATTGCAGCATCCTGACATCCGTCTATGTCTTTGTTTAGCTTCAAAGTGTAGCCTATACTAAACCCTCTGAAGTTATACATGAATTTAAGCGCTAATTATTGAACTAATTTTGGCTTCTCATGGACTGAATTACGATAAGACCTCGATAAATGACTTAGATTTGTATTGTTTAATGAATCATAAGGTTATGTGTGAATGATCGTGTTTAATAATAATAAACTTACGCTTTGACGAAAGCGGGAGTACCGTAACAATGGAGTTTGTTGTTGAGTATTATAGCAATCCTATCAGCTATCTGTACGGCACTGTCAACATGATGCGTACAAATGACAATTGTACATGTCTTCTTTATACGCTCCAGAACGCTGGGGAATTTTATAATCACTGATGTCGCAAAATGTGATTCTTATTCTTAAAGTTATAATAATCTTAAAGTAATAATACACCTCAGGAATATACCACAGGAAATTAATGATTTGTTTTATTCAAATTGACGTGCTGGAATGGAATGAGTACAAATTCAGTGCACTCAGAAGCTCCATACCTGCAGATGAGAGCCCTATTTTCAATATCCATCCCAGCCATTGGTTCATCCAGTACGAGGACTGAGCAGTCGGAGATAAGCGCTATCGCTGAAATGTTATATCTGTTAGAATTTAGGTGCAACCGTGGAGGACTCAAGGCCTGAAGGATTCAAGTCTTCATGAAATCACGAACATAAGAGCTCAAGGACTCTAGAACTTTAGAACTCTAGAACTCTAGAACTCTAGAACTCTAGAACTTCAGAACTCTAGAACTCTAGAACTCTAGAACTCTAGAACTCTAGAACTCCAGAACTCCAGAACTCTGGAACTCAAGAACTTTAGAACTCTAGAACTCAAGAACTCTAGAACTCAAGAACTCTAGAACTCTAGAACTCTAGAACTCAAGAACTCTAGAACTCTAGAACTCTAGAACTTTAGAACTCTAGAACTCCAGAACTCTGGAACTCTGGAACTCAAGTACTTTAGAACTCTAGAACTCAAGAACTCTAGAACTCTAGAACTCTAGAACTCTAGAACTCTAGAACTCTAGAACTCTAGAACTCTAGAACTCTAGAACTCTAGAACTCTAGAACTCTAGAACTATCTTACCGAGAGACAGTTTGCGTTTCTGACCACCAGAGAGAGTCCCAGCCTTGAAATCAGAGAGTGGAGTTAGTCCCAGAAGATGGAGTGTCTCCTGCTTGTGGACTGATACCTCCCGCTTAGATAACCTGGTAGTTATTACTTTATTGTTTAGACAATGCTCCGTTAATAGTAGTTATCATTTTTTATGGCAGATGAAAAAATAAGTAGTCTAACCCCCTAAGAGTTGCAAAGTAGGTGAGGTGCTCAGCAACAGTGAGGTCCTCTTGCAAAGGCTCATTCTGGGGCATGTAGCTGATCAACTTCTGAGCACTCCTGACTCTCTTGTTAGAGTTAAGATTGATACCGCACACAGTTATCTGAAGATGGTAATGTTGACTGTTGAGGTTAGCGTTAAGGACATTCAAATCTACGGCGATACATTGATCCCTGGTATTTAGAGTGAAACTTTGGGTTTCATGAAAAATTCATCGAGAAAGGATTCATTTTTGGGTTCACGATACGAGGAATAGGAGAGGATAAAACATTTATCGCTTACTCTCCTTGATTTTAGTTTATGCCAGTCTATAATATAAATAGAATATATATTCTAAAGATAGAACAAACCTCCCCTTCGGTAGGCCTGATATAGCCTGCCACCATCGCCAACAAAGTAGACTTTCCTGAACCATTTGGACCTGCAAGAAATGAACATACAACATCATTTCAGAGTCCTCTCAGCATTACGTTACCACTTAACGTTTAACAAGGCTGTTAAATGTTCATGAATCCTCGAACGAATCAGTACACCATGTCTACATCTTGATACGCGCAAAAGTTCTTACATTTACAAAACCATGAGAACAGAAGAACACAGACTAACCAAGAAGAACAGTGATCTCTCCCTCAGCTAACTGAATATCTGTGGAATGAAGAGCCGTCACAACTTGTTCACCGTCTACGAAATCTTTTGTCACCGACTTCACTTCCACACCAATTACAGCAGTCCTGAATTTGATATTTGAGAAAAAACATCACCTTACCTCCTCACTAAAATACGTATTTCACAACAAAATAGTAACGTTTTTCACAACACTACCCCGCTCCCTGCTACTAACTACATCCTGCCCCACCTTTATGCAACTCATCTCACCTGGAGAGTTTCTCGCAGTATTCTCGATTGCTGTACTGAGCGCTGAGGAGGGGTGTAGCCTCGGTCACTGCTCTTGCTTTATCTAGACGAGAAGTTCCACCAAAACAGAAACACCATCCCTCGGAGTAGCCGTAGTTTTCTGAAAGCAACTGTTTTATCCGTATTTATTTCAACAGAGCTAGTTACTTTGGGAGAATAACTGAAATTTACACAATAATAATAATACAGCCTCAATTAAAGTCGAAATACTTTTGACAAACTAAAAAATACCCACTATTGGACGTGGCGTCCAAATAGATGGCAAGACATGTTAGGATAACAACATCCACCAGCAGGACCAAGAGGACAGCTTGGAAGGATATCCCCAGGTCATCATCAGCTATGTTGCTCCAACGCAAACCCTCACTTATCATCTCTGAGTCTCCAATCAATCTACACGCTGGAGTGAATTATTTAATGAATTACAGTACACAATACACAGTATGCTGGAGTGAATTACAGTACACAGTACACACCGTACACAATACACAGTATACTGGAGTGAATTTCAGTACACAAGCTGTATTCTTGTGTAAATTTGTATTAATCCCGTTTGATGCGACAAGGATAAATGCTTTTATCAGGAAAGGAATTTCTCAACGTTTCGATGTTACAACATCGTATTCGTGATCTCAAAATATTTGTTATATAGTAGTGTTGAAAGTATCAAAATACAGTACACAAACTGTTTGTAGATTATTAATTTCGAGGAATCGAGTCAATATGAGCTTACTAACAAAGCTGACCCCTGTCATTGTATGTACCAGTTATTCAAGCCACTGATGGATAAATTGATTTGTAAAATGGGTGCCACTAATAACCTATACCAAGAGAGAGGAGGGAGTGTGACGTCACGTGAGGGAGTGTGACGTCACACTCCCTCACGTGACGTCACACTCCCCCACGATAAGTTGATTTGTTAAATGTGTGTCACTAACCTATACCAAGAGCGAGGGGTGGCAGAAGACAAAATATGGACAGTACAAAGGACGGAACATTCTGGAAGTCAGACTCGATAAAGAAGAAGGGAGCGTAGGATATTAGCCATATCACCACCGACCACATCATAGCGGACATGGGGGACTTCACAAAACAGCTGTCAATAAGAAACTGGGTTTATTTTATCAAGTGTGGGGGTTGAATTAGATGTCCAAAAATATGTCAGCAATGTTAAATTTTGAGTGCTGATATGGGCTTGAAAATCTCACTTTACTTGGTACATATTACGAGTTCTCACCAAACTAAACGCACCTTATAAGGAAGGAAAGAGAGATGGAACAGAGGGTGAAGATGATGAGAAACAGCAGGATAACTGTGATGTCTGAGTACTCCAGCGCGTTACCCACAAACAGTACCTAACAATGTTATCTGTCAGTTCAGGAATCTAAGTTAAACAGCACTTACAAGTATGTTTGGTAGCATAAGTTAAACAACACTTACAAGTAAGTTTAGTAGCACAAGTTAAACAGCACTTACAAGTAAGTTTGGTAACATAAGTTAAACAGCACTTACAAGTAAGTTTGGTAGCATAAGTTAAACAGCACTTACGAGTAAGTTTAGTAGCATAAGTTAAATAGCACTTACAAGTAAGTTTGGTAGCATAAGTTAAACAACACTTACAAGTAAGTTTGGTAGCATAAGTTAAACAACACTTACGAGTAAGTTTGGTAGCATAAGTTAAACAACACTTACGAGTAAGTTTGGTAGCATTAAGTTAAACAACACTTACAAGTAAGTTTAGTAGCATAAGTTAAATAGCACTTAAAAGTAAGTTTGGTAGCATAAGTTAAACAACACTTACAAGTAAGTTTGGTAGCATAAGTTAAACAACACTTACGAGTAAGTTTGGTAGCATAAGTTAAACAACACTTACGAGTAAGTTTGGTAGCATTAAGTTAAACAACACTTACAAGTAAGTTTGGTAGCATAAGTTAAATAGCACTTAAAAGTAAGTTTGGTAGCATAAGTTAAACAACACTTACAAGTAAGTTTAGTAGCATAAGTTAAACAACACTTACAAGTAAGTTTAGTAGCATAAGTTAAACAGCACTTACAAGTAAGTTTGGTAGCATAAGTTAAACAACACTTACAAGTAAGTTTAGTAGCATAAGTTAAACAACACTTACAAGTAAGTTTGGTAGCATAAGTTAAACATCACTTACAAGTAAGTTTGGTAGCATAAGTTAAACAACACTTACAAGTAAGTTTGGTAGCATAAGTTAAACAACACTTACGAGTAAGTTTGGTAGCATAAGTTAAACAACACTTACGAGTAAGTTTGGTAGCATTAAGTTAAACAACACTTACAAGTAAGTTTGGTAGCATAAGTTAAATAGCACTTAAAAGTAAGTTTGGTAGCATAAGTTAAACAACACTTACAAGTAAGTTTAGTAGCATAAGTTAAACAACACTTACAAGTAAGTTTAGTAGCATAAGTTAAACAGCACTTACAAGTAAGTTTGGTAGCATAAGTTAAACAACACTTACAAGTAAGTTTAGTAGCATAAGTTAAACAACACTTACAAGTAAGTTTGGTAGCATAAGTTAAACATCACTTACAAGTAAGTTTGGTAGCATAAGTTAAACAACACTTACGAGTAAGTTTAGTAGCATAAGTTAAACAACACTTACAAGTAAGTTTGGTAGCATAAGTTAAACAACACTTACAAGTAAGTTTGGTAGCATAAGTTAAACAACACTTACAAGTAAGTTTAGTAGCATATGTTAAACAACACTTAAAAGTAAGTTTAGTAGCGTAAGTTAAACAGCACTTACAAGTAAGTTTGGTAGCATAAGTTAAACAACACTTACAAGTAAGTTTAGTAGCGTAAGTAAAACAGCACTTACAAGTAAGTTTAGTAGCATAAGTTAAACAGCACTTACAAGTAAGTTTGGTAGCATAAGTAAAACAGCACTTACAAGTAAGTTTAGTAGCATAAGTTAAACATCACTTACAAGTAAGTTTGGTAGCATAAGTTAAACAGCACTTACAAGTAAGTTTAGTAGCATAAGTTAAACAACACTTACAAGTAAGTTTAGTAGCGTGGTTGGGAGGAAGATAACAATGGCGACCAAATACCACGAAGCCCAATAAGACAATCGTTTTAGCCCGTTCATTGTCAAAAACTCCTGAAATCAATATCAGCTGTTGACTGAAAAACTGTTGTTGAATTAAGTGGATTTTTCTTCTTTGGTCGCAAGCGAACCATTGTGAAATGACACACAGAATCTTAATGTCAGACTCAAAATATGAATAAGGATTAAAAATATCTACTACTGAGTGCTGTTATAGACGATACATTTATCAGTGTTTAATGTCCTAACTATTCAGTCGTAGTTCGTTCCGAAAGTATTATTCCACATAAATTACACTACGCTTACCTTGATACCTAGAGTCCTTTGCTCGGTTATCTCTCTCACTAGGTCGGCAGCCAACAGCCCGTATGATATCAGCAGGAGCAGAGGCAGTACTATAGGGATCATCGCTAGATACAGATCCTTAGTGTACCTTGGAGGAGGGAATACGTTTAAAAGGGATTTGTTCAAAAGTTGCAGTTATTCTACAATCTACATTCTACACGAGTAGGAAGGGTATCTGCTGTTGCCACTGATCTGGGAATTGCTACCAGGTCAGATTACACTGTCCTCTCGCTACTTGGAGAGGATGTGATCTCAAGTCTATGACAGATGATCCGTAACGATCAGGTGATCCACTAACCAGTGCGACTGAGCGCTCAGCTCACGTACTACATCAGATCACATCCTGAGCTTGACAAGTAGCTCACATCATCTAGCATGACCAGATCTGTACATACCCACAACTGGCATTAACAAGCTCGTTATCTTCCTATATGTATAAATAACAAACCACAATGCATTATACATCAACCATTTCAACTTCAGTTTACAGTTCACACCTTGACACGAACATGAATTCCGTTTACAGAAAACCTGGCTACTCCGTTACCACCGACAAGTCCTCCCTCCTTCACCCTCCCCCATCCCATCACTACGAGACTCGAATGATCCACGCTAACATCTTCTCGGTTGAGGCAAGCCATCCTGATCCTGACGAACCCTTCTTCACTCACCTTACCCTTTCTCCAGACTCCAGTTACAGGACTCCACCAAGACCTTCTCAACCGGAGATGATATACTATGATGTCACTCCTGTCAAGTCTATATTGGACATTTTTTCCACTCCTCACGATGAGATTATGATGGATCCTGAAGACGAAACAGATCCTGAAGACGAAACAGACACCAAAGACGAATCAGACCCTGAAGACGAGTCAGACCCTGAAGACGAGTCAGACCCTGGAGACGAGTCAGACCCTGAAGACGAGTCAGATCCTGAAGACGAGTCAGACCCTGAAGACGAGTCAGACCCTGGAGACGAGTCAGACCCTGAAGACAAATCAGACCCTGAAGACGAGTCAGACCCTGAAGACGAGTCAGACCCTGAAGACAAATCAGACCCTGAAGACGAGTCAGACCCTGAAATCTCCTTCACCATCACGAAGAGTGCATTCAATGGAACATCCCGCAGACCCTGCCATATACCAGTTACCCTCGACATCGAGATGAAGGAACTGACTCTAACTGATCCTACTTCTCCTCCACCACCAACCACACCTCCACCTCGTCTTTCTGGACCCCACCTTCAACCCAACGGATACGAACCTAAAACCTCTACCACTCCTACCATACCACCTAAACTCTCTGGTCCCCACCGACCTAAACCATCATCCCCCTCAGACCAGGTCTTTACCTCACCGACCTCCCCCTCTCTCCTGGCCTTTTCTTCTCTATCACTGCAGTCACCTACTCGACCCAGAAGATCAGAGCGGATTAGACGGAGAACACGGGGGATTTCTTCAGAGCAGGAGGAGGAGCTGAATCAATACTTCCTGAGGAGCAAACATTTTGGATCTGGGTCCCGGAGACAGGTTGCCAAGATGGTTGGGATCAAGGAGTCTACTGTGTTCCAGTGGTTCGTCACCAAGAAGAAAGCTTGAATATTTTTGTATTTTGTATGTTTTTATATGGGATTGATTATTAATTTAATAACTTAAATAGTTTACTGTTACTTTGTTCAAAAACTGATGTAAGCGATCAAACAAATTATAATAGTAAACTTACGGAGCATGAGGAAATTTCTGCATCGTGACATCTTCTGAGAAGGAACGTCCTGATATCCGGGAGTCAACAGCCGTCTGCAGAGCAAGGAAGCCACTCCGAAAATAAAACGGTAGCCCTGGTTATTTTATCGTCATTAAGGAGAAATATAATTTACTAATTATTAGGAATACAAGGAATACAAGGAATACAAATTTCAAATATTAAGTTACAACAGCAACTGTCAAGATAATAATAATAATAAAATAACTATTATAATAAAGTAGCATATCTGAGAAAATGTGTTTATAAATTATTAATTACCATCGAATGAGCTGTTAGACCGAGGAGCTGGAGAGGCTATCATGGGGAAGATTCTATCCGTGTACCACAAACTCAGCCAACTCTTCATTCTTATACTGTAACTGAAACACAAATACTTCTTGTTCGTTTGTTCTCTAGGCCACAAAGAATGAAAAGTTCTTAATACACAGTGCTTTCCTTTTAAGTCTATCTAAGAAATTTACAATTCAATGATGTAATAATAATGTCATTAACATCAATGAACTGTAACGAAACCTATCAATTTGTTAATATAATTCATTAAAACAAGTTTTCGAGCTCTGAACGAGTCCCACTTCTAACTCCAAATGCCTCAATGTCAAATTTTCAACGTCACCGTGTATTTATACCTAAGTTCTCATTCTCAAAAAGCAATGTTTCTGGGTTACCTTTGTTGGTTGAGTTCTACAGGGTGGAATATTAGAGCTGCTAGAGTGTGACTGTACAGAGAGTGATTATTCTTCAGTACACTCTCTATCTCCTCCTCCGTGTTGTACCCTATAGCTTTTATCCCTGCACAACACTAGATTTACCACTCTTTTAAATGGGCTTTTTAACTTTAAACTTATGTGATTAAAGTTAAACTAGAAAACACGAAAATAAAATTTTAATATCTTATCACAATATCTAAAAAACCACCAACCCACCAAGATCACGGGCAACACCTCTCACTATGTGCTGATACAGCTCGTTCTGCGGAGTGAAATGGAGAAGTGTCTCGTTTCTCCGGGATAAGATCCTGATCACCTCTGATGGCTTGAAGGGTCTGTATTGACAGGAGGTCCTGTTGAACATGGTGAAGGAGTCTTGGTCCAGGTCACAACCTGGGAAGGTGTTGACATGTGAAGAGTCGGGAGAAAGGACCCTCTTACTCAATTTAAGATTTTTTTTCAGAGGTCTATTTATGACCGGTTTGACAGAGTTAACATTTAAATTTCACAATTCCCAGTTTCTGAGAATGATCCCCTGGATATTATTTAACGACCCAAAAATTGGGGAATTGTTGTGTACCTGAACTAGATTTCATTGTCAATCTCAGTACAACCAGCACCAGAAGGATGGTTGGTGGAATGAGTATCTTAGCGAGGGTTCTGACAGGATTCCTGACGGCACACCTCAGTGACCATCCAGCCACTAGTATGGCTTGTTTCATTTTGATTTATTTCCCGGGTACACTTAGATAGGAGGTTGGTCCGGTTGCAGTATTTTCTAGTCCAGTAGCACTTCACTCCATAAGTATTTGCAAATTGTCCACTCGCTATCAGGGTTTGGATCGAGAACTAAAATCTCATTTCATTAACTTGAGCTGCACAGGACACTGAAGAACACGAGATAAATACGAGAAATAAGCAATAATCCCACGAAAATTAATAGCGTTCAAAATCTATGATTGTTTTCAAAGTTTCAGGTCATAAAGGACCATTAGACAATTCCACGATACAATCATTTTATTTAACGTTTAGGGTAACGAGTTAAAATACACGAACAACAAAAACGCTTCATCAACGCCATTGAATATGATCATGATACCGATGTAAAGCCAAAGGCAATTATGGAATGGTACCAATAATGCTAAAAAGTACTGCTGAGTTAAAACAAAGCTGTATACTGTATGGCGTATGCCGAAAATCATTATTATTTAATGGGTTTTCACATCAGCCACATATATTCATGACTAAGCTCTTTAAACCATGCATGGAATTTATATGGCTTTTCCTATTATTAAACTGAGTGGGTAGAAAATATCACTATAGTAATAGTATGCTATGTTGATCAGCTTAAGTGTTACAGATGTAACTTTCCGATGAACTTATGTGACTGAAATTATGTTTTATAGCAATTACAGCACTAAAAGTAAACTGATTGAAAGCTTTGAGTAAGAATTATTCACTCCTACACTTCACAACGTTACATGCTAATTCAATATTCAAATTGAGTACTTCAGAGTTGCCAGAGCATTTAATCGGACTAAAACATCACAGAAAAAGAGCAGTGAAGAAATCGCATACCATCAGTGCATAGACACGATTAATTTGAGGAATTAGGTGAATGAAATTTCCACCGGCAAGGTATTACACGCGAATCTGACAACCTGACAATAGCTGATGTAAGTAAGCTGCAACTCGTAGTACACTCGGATAAAGAGCTGGCCACGTGGGCACACCACGTGGTATGACCCGCTTTGTTCTTGTATTATAGCCGGTGTTGGGGAAACAATGAGGATTGGGATCCTTGTCTCAATGCAGCACGAGTACTTGGGCGTGTACTGTGCATACACCGCGTTGATCAAATTTCAATTATAATTGTCTCGCGGAAGGAGTCTGATGTATTCATGATTCAGGGAGGATTCAGGTAACTATCTCAATTTTCGCTCTCAACCTTTTATTTGGGAATTTTGGAAGAATGGACGAAATAAAACACTTTCAGTTTCAGAAAATTCATTAAACATGAAAAAATATGTAACACACTGTTAGGACTTTAAAAATAAATTAGCTCATAAATATTAGCAAAACCCTCGCTGGTCCTGACAAAAAATAGTTTGTCAGTCAAAGAAAACTAGCTGGGACTCTTTTACTGTGACATTAACTTTCTCAATGTGATAAATACATACACCACTGTTTGTAACACGGCCATTCCTATCCCCAACATAATAAATATAAGATTTGCAAAGTTATGGCACAGTACCTGATTTTGGATACAAATTGTAGGTTTATAACCTACCAGGACGCGCGCCGAGTTGGACTCGTCGACGGTCCCTAATATTTGGAACAAATATTTTACGAGTATCACCCGTTAACGATTTTAAGAACAAACAGGGAATTTGGGCAAATTAAATAGATAGATAACGTGTACTTGTATTATAATTAAATAATACAAGCTAATGGGTGGTCATGTTTCAGCTTTGCTGTTGAGGTTGGTGCTAGAGGTGTGGTCGCAGCAAGTTTGGAGTGTGCATCAAGGAAGATTGGTCTGACTGGGAGAGCCCTCAAGAAGTTGGTCAGAGATTGTGGGAAGGATGCAGCCCATTGTTCAAGATGGATTTATCTGCTGTCTAGGAAAAGAGAGTGGGAGATGAGAGCTGTTTGAGCTTTATGACTTCACCTAACAGCCAGAGGTGCCATAAGCTAACTCGTCGTAAATCGCGAGCTCTAGCAGGTATCCTCGGGTGATTGTCAGATCAGATGGTGGTCCAAGAGAGACTGCTGGGGCACCTGACAGAAAACCGTATCGCAATGAAAGCCCCGAAACGGTGTCAGGTTTGTGACTGAAGATTCTGATCAAGCTCAGGGTTGAGTCTACACAGTGTCGCCACTTGCCGATGCCAGTTGATGCGAGAAGACACTGATGTAAGTGGGAAGTTATGTCTAAGAAACAGCGTGTGGTTCGGGTGCCGGTTGAACGCTTGTAAAAGGGAGGGTATATCCGTATTTCGCTGCTAGTGATGCAGTCCTTAGCCCGGTAGCTAAGGCTTCCCCGTTTCTCGCTCATTTGTGCTCCGATGGGCTTGTGACCTCTGCGGGGGTCAAGTGCAGGATGAGGGACATGGCTGACCAGGAGAAGGTTGTTTTTGGGAGATAGAGTAGGGTTGGTTTGGTGTTGTGCCTTCGCAGTTTAACTGTATCTTTACTCTATGCTACTTTATGATACTGCTGGGATTGGCCAGCTACCGTGGGGTAAGGCCCACCTGATTTGAACAGATGCTACGCTTGGAATTGGCTTCTGGGGTGAGTTGAGATCCGTGCCTGCAGCGGTTACTGCAATAGAGAGGTGTGATGGGGTTTTAACGAGCGGAGACCTCAGTCCACATCGGTCCTGCGCCTCCTGCCTCTCTAAGGTTCCGGGAGTCCCTATTTAGGGACGAGTTGCCCGGGTGAAAAATAAAGGCTTTGTGGACACCCACCACGTCCTGCCACGAATCAGAAAAGGACTTATACAAACAGTCGAGAACTCTCGACCCCTGATTCTGATGTAGCAGAGGAGTTTAGCTGCGTGTGTGGTCGACGCTTTACAACGGAAAGGGGTAGGAACATTCATCGAGGAAGGATGAAGTGCTCTTGGGAAGGGGAGCAACCGTTAGATGTTGCATCTGTAAGTTCGGTGGAGGTACCTGGCCAGGACGATAACCACAGTGCCAGGGATATCCAGGCCCTTCTTTCAAAGAGTTCTTCTATTGACCCACCTGCCCCTAAGAAGCCCAAGGTGAAGTGGCCGGCCGCAAAGGATGAGAGGTGGGTAGAGTTTGATGTGAGTGTTAGTAAGAGAGTGAGACAGGAGCAGAAGGGGAAGCCATTCCAGGAGAAGATGGTGAGCCATTGCGACACGGTGTATGATGATGGTGTGAAATGGTTTGGGCTCGTGATTGATGGTGCAGAGTCAGGTAAAGGTCTCAGGTTTGCCAACAGGAGACAGGAGGAGATTGATAAGTTGGTCATTGAGAGGAGAGTGCTGAGGAGGAAAGCCAGGAAAGCTTGTTCCCAGTCTGTAAAGGATGGTTTCAATGCTTTGCTTAGAGGCCTGGCAGAGAAGCTGCGTAAGTTGAGAAGAGCAGAGGCAAGGAGGAAGAAGCAGAGAGAAGTGAGGAGACAGAGAGGTGGGTTTACTCGAGATCCTTTCAAGGCTATTAAAGGTATTCTTGAACCAAGCCCTGTGGGAGAGTTAAAGTGTAGTAAGGAGGAGTTAGACAACCACCTGTCTAATACGTATAGTGATGCCAGTCGGGCAGTTCCTCTTGGCGTTCTGAATGGGTTACCTGAGGCAGCTCCTAGCCCAACTGTGGGGTTTGACAGCAGGAATATAACCAAGAAAGAGTTCGAAGAGGTTGTCAAGAAAGCCAGAGGTAAGAGTTCACCTGGTAACAACGGCATCCCGTATACGGTGTACAAGAGGTGTCCAGGAATATCTCAGAACTTGTGGCATGTGCTGAGAGGAGGCTACAAGGCTGAGGAGTACCCAGACAACTGTAGGTACTTTGAAGGGATCTACATTCCTAAGGCGGATGGAGATTTTGGACCCAGCACAGGACGGCCTATATCGCTAGGAAACATTCAGGGGAAGATATACCTCGCTGTGTTGGCGAAAAGATTAACCAACTTTGTTGTCGCTAACGGGTATGTGGATCTCTCTGTGCAGAAGGGTGGAGTTCCTGGTGTACACGGATGTACAGAGCACTTTGGAGCTATGTGGGAGGTGCTCAAAGATGCTAGAGTTAAGAGAAAGGATCTGAGTGTTGTCTGGTTAGACTTGGCGAATGCTTACGGGGCTGTTCCACATTTACTTATTGTGAAAGCACTCCGCTTCTATCATATCCCCGAGAAAGTTATCAACATCGTAATCAAATACTTCTCGGAAGTTTACGGAAGATTCTCCTCTAAAACAGTGACATCAGAGTGGCAGCAGTTCGAGATAGGAATATTTATGGGCTGTGTCATCTCGGTGATCTTGTTTGTGCTATGCATGAACCTTTCTGACGAGTACTTGAAGATGAAGGTACCCAGGAGTGTCGAGTACATTAAGGATGGAACAGCTATACCACCCCTTAAGCTGTTTATGGATGATAGCTGCCTTACCACGGCTAAAATGGTAGATATGCAAACCCTGCTTGATGTTTATCAGGAGTTCGTTGTGTGGTCAAGGTTCAAGCTTAAGTCGTCTAAGTCTAGGGCACTAGTCTACCAGAAGGGAGTGACAGTGGAGTGGGTTGTAGAGAGTTCAGAAGGTAGTCAGGCGAGGTTGCAACTTAGCGGGGAGGTGATCCCGAATGTATCTGAGAAACCAATCAAGTTTCTAGGGAGGTGGATTCGGGCAGAAGGAAAGGACAAAGCTATAATCGAGAAAACACACGAGGATCTTGTTACATACCTCAGTAGACTCGATCTTAGCTCCCTCACCGGCCTGCAGAAATGTTGGGGGTATCAGTATATGGTCCTTCCAAAGATGAAGTGGCCACTTGCCATTTATGATATCCCGATCAGCACTGTTTCTCGCTGGGAGCAAACAACTAACAGTCATCTCAGAAAATGGCTAGGAGTGGGACACACGCTTAGTAGCTCTTGCCTGTTTAGTCATTCATCCAGTGTTGCTCTCCCCATCGACAGCCTAACCGACACTTGGAAAGTAGAAAAGTGCCGTCTCTTGCAGTCATATCAAACATCTCAGGATGCTTTGATCAGAGCGGTGCAACCCCAGGTGCGGTCTGGGAGAGTTTGGAAGGCAGATGCTCAGCTTCACGAAGCTGAAAGAGACTTGGTGTGTGAGTCAGTGCGAGGTATGGTGCAACCTCTTAGTAGAGCGGGAATTGGTTTCGGTGATTGGAAGAAGCCCTGGGAGAAGATGTCAGAAAAGGAGCAGCAGAGGGAGGTGTTGGATAGGGTTAAGGAGAACATCAGGAAGGAAAGAGAGGTGCAGTTGGGTACGTTGGAGATGCAGTCCAGGTGGGGTAATTGGAGAGAGCTGGTGACAAGGACTGACATGAGCTGGCACACGCTCTTCAAGTATGGGGACTCATTAATCGGTTTTCTGCTTAGTGCTGTGTATGGCACGCTTGTTACACCAGCTTTAGCATCCAAGTGGAGCGAGGATGAGGATGGGATGTGCAAGCTGTGTGGTGACAAGTTGGGAACTGTGCCGCATATTCTGGCTGGTTGTCCTGTGGCACTAAGTCAAGGGAGATACCGATGGCGCCACGATAAGGTGCTTAAACAAATAGCAGACCAAGTGAAATTCCATTGTGAGCGGAGAGTCAACAAGAGGAAGAGCTCTTGTGTCACTCGGAAAGCCATTGAGTTTGTTCCAGCAGGAGGGAGGTTTAAGGAGGTGAAGAGGTCGAAAGTCAGTGAGTTTGGGATTCTGAGTGGGGCCACTGATTGGATAGTATTAGCAGACCTGGATGAGCAGCTGAAATTCCCGCCGGATATAGCAACGACCAGATTAAGACCAGATTTGGTTCTTTTCTCGAAAGCTTCCAAGAGAGTAATCTGGTGGGAGCTTACAGTACCGTCGGAAGAGAGAATAGCTGCATCCCATGAGCTGAAGCTTGATCGGTATAACAGTCTACAAGCGGAAATACAAGCTAATGGGTGGTCATGTTTCAGCTTTGCTGTTGAGGTTGGTGCTAGAGGTGTGGTCGCAGCAAGTTTGGAGTGTGCATCAAGGAAGATTGGTCTGACTGGGAGAGCCCTCAAGAAGTTGGTCAGAGATTGTGGGAAGGATGCAGCCCATTGTTCAAGATGGATTTATCTGCTGTCTAGGAAAAGAGAGTGGGAGATGAGAGCTGTTTGAGCTTTATGACTTCACCTAACAGCCAGAGGTGCCATAAGCTAACTCGTCGTAAATCGCGAGCTCTAGCAGGTATCCTCGGGTGATTGTCAGATCAGATGGTGGTCCAAGAGAGACTGCTGGGGCACCTGACAGAAAACCGTATCGCAATGAAAGCCCCGAAACGGTGTCAGGTTTGTGACTGAAGATTCTGATCAAGCTCAGGGTTGAGTCTACACAGTGTCGCCACTTGCCGATGCCAGTTGATGCGAGAAGACACTGATGTAAGTGGGAAGTTATGTCTAAGAAACAGCGTGTGGTTCGGGTGCCGGTTGAACGCATGTAAAAGGGAGGGTATATCCGTATTTCGCTGCTAGTGATGCAGTCCTTAGCCCGGTAGCTAAGGCTTCCCCGTTTCTCGCTCATTTGTGCTCCGATGGGCTTGTGACCTCTGCGGGGGTCAAGTGCAGGATGAGGGACATGGCTGACCAGGAGAAGGTTGTTTTTGGGAGATAGAGTAGGGTTGGTTTGGTGTTGTGCCTTCGCAGTTTAACTGTATCTTTACTCTTTACTATTGTCCGCTAATCTAATATCAAATTATAGGAGGTAAGACTATTTGTGTAACCGTGTGAGCTTGCCTTCAATTTACTATAACTGCATGAAATAAAAGTGATTGAAATCTGATATGATCATACGAAAATAAATTAATCAATTTCATTTTAAAATCGAAAAAAGCTTGGTATTCTTAAATATCCCACTAATTACTATTATATTTCTATAAGAAAAAACAATAGCTTCAGAAATTAAAAAGAAATAAATTACATTGAATCACAATAAATTATTATCATTATTTAAATCAACGTATTAAATTTACGTTTTATCACGCTATCATCTCAATAGGATCATACCCAAACATCTCGAAATCTGCTGCGTACATTTTATTTAAATATTCAATCTGTTCTCGGTTAAGCTGCTTAACGTAAAGTTTTATTTCATCAGCTGAGGCAGATTTGTTGCTGGATGAGTTGTGTTTTGACAGAAAGCTCGCCTTATACTGTGTCATCTGGAGACGGTCTAGCAGGACCATCAACTCCTCCGGTTCTTCCTCAAGCTGGAAATAAAATGTTAGTTAACGGTTAATTAACGGTTAGTTAACTGTGCTGAAATTATATTCTGGGAAACAGCAACATATTAAATTTTGATAAAGTTGTAAAACAAAATTACAAAAAATAAAGCAACAGTGAGGACCTGTATAATAATATCGAGATCGTTCTGACAGATATCACACCACTCAATTGTGGGTCTCCAGTGTCCGTTGTTACCTTTATCGTCTCGACCCCTATGTCTGTTGGATAGTTAACCTGATTACTTTCAATAGATGGCGAATAAATAACCAATTAGATTGCAGCATCGACCAGTAATTTATTGGGTTAATGTGGTATGACACTGGTAAAACCAGTGATAAAACTTTTTCCAATTTCATTTTTAGTACAGAACGTTGAAAAAGAGACAGTATTAGAGAGCGGTCCCATAAATCGGACACATGATCATTAAAAAGCAAAAAGAAGCCACGAGACTGAGAGATGAAAGCACGCTACCTCATGACGAAATCTATAAGTTCTGGGAAAACTGGGTAAGGCGGGTGAAGGTAGGGGTTCTCCTCTGAGTAAGAGCTGTGTCTACCAGAATCAATCTGAAACAAAAAAAAAGTTACCGCTGAAAACTGCTGAACAAATCTTACGAAATCCAAATTAGTGCTAGTTCTTCAGAGCTTGCAATAATTATAACAAGAATTAAGAGCTAGCAATAATAGATATTATCTGTTATTGCTAGCTCTTAATTCATCTGTTACTCCATCTAAAACATGAACCACGTAGGTCTGAGTGTACTAAAACTAACCTCGTTTATATAGATGTCAAACTCGCGCTTGTACTTGGTCCTGGTAGCACTGTCCCACTTGGGGTCTGTTCGTCCGTTTATAATACACTCCTCAACCCAGTCCCCCCTTTGGGCTCTCACTTCCTTGGGGTAGTTCTGTGCTTTTCGTAGGTGACTTATCTGTGGGGCGGGGAATTTAGGGCGGGGAAAGAGATGACTGCTAACAAGGAGAACAAGGCTTTTGTATGGACGTATTTTACTGGCAAATTATTTCATTACATGATTAAATTTAACTAATTAATTAATTAAATAATCAAAACATGAACTATATATAATTAACAAGAATAACGTACCAATCTAGAGATAGGATGTCTGACTACAGTGAACCGAACACTCTCTGTTGACTCGCTTCTGAACAATCTCCTCCTCTCGTTTGAGGACCCTCTCATTGAACCCTGAGGGCAACGAAGATAGTTATTAGCGATGAATACCCAAAAATTAAACAATATCAATTAGTCTGGATTAAACTGTATCTTTTTTTCTAAAATCTAAAAACTTTAATCCGTGATAACCCATAATTACTACATATTTTGTACCATGATATGTTATTCTGTTATCAGAACAAGAAATGACATGAATAATAACAATTGATTCTAATTACCCTAGTAAGAATCTGGTTTCCCAGCACCCCCAGATGGTAATGCACTCCCATGAAGTTAGCATGGGACCCCAACACGTTGTCAATGAAGAAATCCCGCCATGTTGAACTGCTGGCTTTGAAGGTTGGGCACCATGAGATACCACCCTTACCGTACTTCCTGAAAATAGGGAATTGCGTCACGAACTCTTCCTCTTCTTGTTTTGCAACTAAAACCTGGTATCTACTGTGTAGAAGCTGTTTTACCTTTTGGGGTGACGGATGAAGGTAAAGTTACCATCGTCCAAGTCGTTGAGTGACTAATAATGATTCTTTGATAAAAACTCCATAAAAAACTCACCCAAATAGATACATATTGTACTGATTTGAGTTGGGATAGTTGAGTCTCTTGCAAACTTCCTTCACTCTTTGCATCCTCTCATCTATCACGACCTCAGGGGACTGGAAAAAGAAGAACTTTAAACATAAAACACAAACCCATCAAGTTTTATACCATTAGTTTGTATGCTGTCTGCTTTTTGAGAGCTCTAAAGAACATCTCACAGTCCTGGCACACTGTGCAGCTGCTAAAAACCCTCCATCAATAATAATAATAATAACAATCACACTGATTTGAAGGAGGATTGAATTTAACCTTGCTTTTTTCCTGTTCAAGCTCTCGTTGCTCCTGCTCCTTGCGCATTTTCTCTTTTTCCTCTTGTTCTTTTTTCAGCTTTTCTTCTGCCTTTTGTTGTTCCTTCTCCCTTACCTCTTGCTGCTCCTTTCTCAGCATTTCTTCCGCCTCCTTTTGTTGCATTCTCAACGTCTCTTTTTGCTCATCAGTTTGCTCTTGCTCTGTTTCCTGACTCTCTGGGTCCAATGTCTTGTTGTAGGCTGTCTCTGGTGGTTCGGTGTTCTCCTGTTCATCTTGGTGTGCCTGTTTGAAAAACAGGTGAAACTAGAAATTGGAAAGTGAGCTGAGGTGATGATAATTAAAGGTAATGATAATTTATGGTAATTTAATTAAAGGTAATTTAAAGTTTGTTTGGCGTAGATCACTAATTTCAGGTAACTAAATAATGCTTAGAGAGCTAGAGATTGGTCTAGATGTCTGAATTGTAAAATATCTATCAAAATTAGGGATTAGCTTTGGGAAATGGCATGTTTAACTTAGGGTTAAGACGGGAAAATGTAATCCTCTATTATCAATTAAATAATAACTTGATTAATTATATAATAATAGAAATACCTCACTGCCGGCAGAAGGGAGGAACTTTATCCGAGTAGGTAACTTCTCGTTAAATGAATGCGTGTCGGAGGTCTCTGTCTCTTCATTGTTGAAGTAAAAGTTCAACAGTCCCAATACTGAAAAATGTCAGGATTTAATTTGGAGTTTACTTTTGATCACATTGAAAATTGACGCTTCACTGTATTTTTTATTACTTTATTTCACACCGTACGGTTTACATACCAGGCCAGGCGATTGCGTCGTATTTATTTATGGTGAGTCATCCTGTATCATGCACAACAAGCTGACTAACTTGGGAGGCTAATGTTGTAATATAATGTTATTTGTAGCATAATCACATTATGTACACTGTATTACTTTACTCACGGGGTATTCTTAAAATGTAAGTTATATACAGGGATATTACACAGCGTCTTTAATATGATTGGTAACATTTAAGTTGTGTTAATGGATAAGAAGCAACATCTATAACGTCATTTGGATGAAATATGCGCACCCTCAAGGGCATGAGTTTCAAATTCTTAGCAGTTGGCCGGACTTTTATTTAACGAAACTTTATTCGATCGAGCAAATTAATAACCAGCAGCGAATAACACCAAGGCTCACAAACCTGCAATAAAAGCTAACAGCTGAACAATAACTACTTTGGAGCATCTGACCATGTTTCTGAAAAATGAAACGTTTCTGGTTTCTGAGTAGATGATCTGTAGAGATATGATGTCTGGAGCTGCAAGGACCCTCGTCTTGCAGGAGGCTTGAAGTTGGTTTATCGAGATTGTGCCATGATTCACATCGTTTACATGTACATGCCCTGTAGTGGTGATGGTGATGGTGGCGGTTGTGTGAAAAACTGTTGAACATCTCGGTGTAACTTTTGAACATTCCGATTGAAGCGAGAAATAGTTATATCTTGATCTAGAGTTATTTTTAAGGAACTTTAGGAGGGAATGATTTTAATAAAAATTAATTAAACGACACAAGAATGATTGAAAAATATTAAAAAGTATCATGCTAAAGGTAAAAGGATTCATTAATATTCGCAAAAGTTGTGTATGATCACTTACTAAATCTAATACCTTTTTAGAAAAATAAAAATCTGAATCATAAACTGTCTGATTAACAGAATGCTTCAGGAAACGCAGTATACATTTCTTACAGCTTACAATAAACAGTACACATTACACTACAACCGATAAATCCAGAAAAAACAAGAGTTATATCACAGAATTATAAAGAGCTGACCACCATATGGTCGCAAGTAAGACCAAGCTAGAGACCAGACATTGGATGATTAAACATAAAAGGACGCATAAAAAACAATCTGGCAGTGTGCAATTTGAAATATGATACCCTGACCAGTGTACATTACGTTAATACAGGACACACTCGCAGGACAGAAGCCAGGGAGATGTACATAACAATACAATCGTGTAGGTAGGTATACTAACTCTAAAGAGCTCCCTCTCGGTCAGTGAGTAACAATGCAGTCAGCAGTGGGAGCACCTTATAAAGATATAAAATATGCAGTACTGAATTTGTTATTTGCAATGGTGTCCACTGTCCCCAAACGTTACTCTCAAACCTTACCCTTAAAGGTTACTCAAACCTTACTCTCATTTCGACTCAACCGTCCCCAACCTTAACTACAACCCTAAAGCTAAGGTGAAATCTAATATAGAATACACAATAATGAAAATTGACACTCATTTCGTCTTCAGTAATAAATCATGATCTACCCACTCAAGAGAGCGAAAAACGGATAATATAAAACTGAAAAGTCTTATGCATAATATCTAAAACAAGTTCTCTGATCAACAAGCTAGGGTGGGAAAGAAACGAGTAAAACTAATTAACATGCTCCCTGAATGTAACCCACTAGCCTAGATAATTATTATCAGTTGAGAATGGGAATTATATTCTCTTGTTACCAATATGTGTAACATAACATGTTTTATGTGTATTAGATGACAAAGGTGCAGTATGCAGGGTAAGCAACAGGTACACAATGGGTAAACAATAGGTAAGCAAAGGATAAATGATGGATACAATTGAATATGGAGGCAGTGCTGACCAAGAGTCTGAATATGGGCACCAAATTAAAATTCACTCGATTAAATATTAAATAATACAAAAAAAACAAGATAAGACAGGAGTGGACTTTACACTGCAATCTCTCGCTGTTTTGGGTGATTAAATTAATGACCCGATTTCAATTCCCAAAAGCAAAAGCGTGATAGCAGAGAGGACCAGTTATTCAACTATACAATATACATTATGTGTAGACAGAGTGTTTGAGGCACGAACAATGAACATGTATACTGCGTGTTACAGGAGTCTTGATACGCACAATGGTGAGAAACGCAAAATGAGGACAACATATACAATGTACAATGAACATTGTAGAATACACACTGTATAGTGTACACTGTACATTTAACATTGTAAAAAGTTAATTGGACACGAATTCCTCTATATCGAACGCAGAACACAAGGCAACAAAACCCATCAAGTCAAGCAAACTAGAATAACTTCGGATGATAATTTCGCCACTATGCATGTAGGAATTAAATAATGTACGTGCAGTCTAGTGTTAATAATATTACATACTTGATACAATTAGGAGTAAGAAGAGCCAAAGTAAATCAGAGAGAAGAAAATAGGATCAGGTTTCAATGAAACGCAATTGGGAATGTTATTTCACTTACATTTGTTTACCGCATAGAAAATAGAATTACTAATCGGGGGAGTTTTGTATTATGTACCATGGATGGCGACCCTTTTTCTGTAACCATTTATAAAAATTGTTCGAACAAATTTTAACAACGTGGTTTTAAAACGGCGCTCTTTTTATTAACTCCGGACATATTTAATCACTGCAAATTCTGTACATCGTAGCACTTTAATTGGGATCAGCTAACGTCACACGGGAGCAACTTACAACGAAATACAATAATCCTGAGTACACAATTACCTAGCTGGTACAATCCAATCAAATCAATCGAGTATGTAGGTACAGTGTACACTTTACACTTTACTATGCATAATATATATACATGGTATAATGTACCACCCTCCGAAATCAAACTATCCGCAACAAGAGCGAAAATATACAGAACTGAAAACAAGTTGACTTGTCAATCTGATAGTGTACATGCTTTAATTACACTGAGTACAATGTACATTTATACAGTTATACGTTGTGAACTTGTTGCTCCAACCCTATTTTCCCCATTTTCCCTCGTCCCAAATTCAAATTTCTCGCTGTTTCGGCGCAAAATCGGGCATTATTTGAGCAAATTCACTAGAAGAAACATACATCGAAACAAGAAACTTTTGGTGATCACGATGAGAAAGGTCAAAGGTACATCCAAATTCCTCGTTGTTTTTAGGGTTGGAACCCAAATTTGTCAGACTAAATAACCAGGTGATCATTGATTTCTCAACATAACAATGGATCGAACTTAGTTAGTTAAGATTTCGTGGCTTGAAGTACAATATTCTGGTGCCAAATTGTGACAACTAGATTTTTAAGCAGTTGTGATTTACAACCTTATACCCTGCAATCAGTTAACTATTTCCAAGAATGACGAGATTTGCTATATATTTATAAATATCTTTTGCGTAGAAATGACCGCTTTTCCAAGCCCCCTCATTCCAGAAACCATACAATGGAAGCAGTGATCGATGGATCTATGAGCCGCAAATCATTGACTGATTAACAAAGCCTATAATTCTTGCATCTCCGATAACAAGTACGGAGGAAATTTTGCCGTACTAGATCAACAAACGTACAACGAAACTTTGGACAGAGAACATAGCGTGCTGTGCTGAAGCATACATAATCAAACGGAACGTAACCGGCTCATACACGCGCAATAAACCACGTGACCTATAAAACAGCGCGCGCATACTGCGCGCGCCACTCGGCTAAAGAGGACAAGCTGACCACTTGGTCAGTAATATCTTTACAAATTTATATAAAAACGTTTTCGCCGCGCACATTTAATGCATAGGTACACTGCAAAAAATGACTCATATGCAGTTGTCGATTCATTGGTTCAATCGGCTAAGGTCTCTGGCGGAAACAGGCTTAGCCACATTATAAAGAATGGTTAGAATTTCCTCCCGGGCTTGATTAGAAAATAAGTAATCTACTGGTAGGAAATTTTCATTGCATAAAATTTTTCTCCGGATATACTGCTTCCAGTACCTTGATGGCGACTTGTGTCACTCTTCCTGACCTCACTGATTGGTCAATGGTTAACATTTCAGTCAAAACCGCGAAATGTCGGTCAAGGGAACGGCAGAAAATCTTCTCTTCAGAAATCTTACAAAACCTCACTTCTCATTTTAAATTTTCATTTTGCCACTTTTTCCCTAGCTCTCTTATCTTTTTAGATAACACTACCTTTATTTTCAAGTTTTTATGACGGTTTTTTCAGTCATGTACGATAAAGCTTATCCAAGATAATTCTTAACCGTTAAAGTTGTGTGGTTTTACCCGTCTCTTCTAGAACTTCCCTAAAGTCTATGCTATACAATAAGTATACATAAACTATCAATTTCCATTGAAGGGAGGGAGGGATGGAGGAAGGGAGGGAGGGAGGGAGGGAGGGAGGGAGGGAGGGAGGGAGGGAGGGAGGGAGGGAGGGAGGGAGGGAGGGAGGGAGGGAGGGAGGGAGGGAGGGAGGGAGGGAGGGAGGGAGGGAGGGAGGGAGGGAGGGAGGGAGGGATGCCTAATTTTTCAGTGTGTTGGGCCTAATTTTTCAGTGTGTTGGGCCTAATTTTTCAGTGTGTTGGGAAAAGAGTCAAAGTTTCCCGCTCAAAATTTTGACGAAAAACCGATTTTCGGTTCCAACTTCAACAATAATGCGAAAATACGGGTTTCTGGTAAATCAGGCTATAAAGGTCCTAGAGACGATCTTACTTTTCGAGTTATTGACAAAAACCGAGAAGCAGAAATAGCTTATTAGGAAAGTTGGTGCAAAGTTTGAGGAGTATATAAGATTTGCAAGTAGGTAAATAACTCAACTACTAAGTTAACAAGGCCCCCTTAACAAGGGGGTGGTTTGAGTGGTACCATATTTTTCACCATGTCAGCCGCTTTGACATTTATTAGCTCACCTTTTCACCATTATTTAAGTTTATTCCTAACCAGGAAACGCAGGAGTACAATGAGGCTTGCGGTCATGAAGCATCATGTAGTAAAACTTCATGGTTGGCTGTCTGGATCTTATTGTAATTGTATGAATATACAGTACAACTCACTCCCGTTTTATAAATTCAAATTGTTTCTTATGGATTTGACACTAAACAGCGCCCATGTCACTGGTTCTGTTTCTAGATCCAGCTGCGCTCCCTCGCCGGCTGATTCTGGGGATGATCTTGGAGTTGGTGCTCGCTCGATTCCCTCGAGCACCAATTCTGCGGCCGTTTCAGCTGTACCTCCCTTGTACAGGCTGCATTCGATGCTGCTATGATCAGTCCCCTATCCAGCGTCGGTGCTGGCAGTCCTACTCTTGCTGGGCCTTTGACTGATTCAGGCTCTCGGTTCCTCGACAGTGGATTGTCTTCCTATCTCCTTGGCGATCCCCTGAATGTTCGGGTCTTTACCCCTCAGGATGTATTTCCGCCCGATTAGATGTTACCAGGCGGAATCTTTTCCTGACGTGTTTTTATATCCTGGTCGCAGCACCACTTAAAGGCTTATGGGTACTTCTATTAATACCTCTTAAGACCTGATACGGTTCTCGGTTACTAATTTCCCAGGTTCGTGATACTACTGGTCAGTGCAACGATTCGTCTAG